TGACCCAGACCCTGGTTAACCCCTATATGGGAGCTCCTAGCAGAGGGAACGGTCATGGGGGAATACTGCAGTTCTTGACAAATGAAACAAAGGGAACAGGTTGATCTGCACCCACTACACATACCGTGGAATGGCAATGCCATAAAGCACTGGCAACTACTAACAACTTCCACAGGGTCACACCAGGGATGTGCCCACTAACCATTGCCCAGGATTGGGGTTGATCAACTGAATGGCTTTTGACAAACAAAATGAAAAGATTTTTCTTTAAGCCCAAGTGCCCATCAGCAGATGAGTGGATAAGAAAGCTATGGTACATTTACACAATGGAATACTATGTGGCGGTAAAAAAGAACAAACTCTTCCCATTTGCAACAGCTTGGATGGATCTGGAGAGTATTATGCTAAGTGAAATAAACCAGTTAGAGAAAGATAAGTATCACAGGATCTCATTCATATGTGGAATCCAATGAACAAAATAGATCCAGAGACATAGAACCGTGGAAGAGACATGAATTTCCAAAGGGAAGGTGGGGGTGGGGAGTGGAAGGGAGAGACTAACCAGGGAACTTATATGCATATATTCATAGCCCATGGACACAAACAATAGTGTGGTGAAGGCTTGGGAGGGGCGGGGGTGGGGAAGAGGGGTTCAATGGGAAAAAAACAAAGGGGACATCTGTAATACTTTCAACAATAAAGATAAATTAAAAAAAAATAAAGTCCAGCCCTAGCCGGTTTGGCTCAGTGGATAGAGTGTTGGCCTGCGGACTGAACCGTTTCAGGTTTGATTCCAGGTCAAGGGTTGTGGTCTCGATCCCCAGTAGGGGGCATGCAGGAGGCAGCTGATCAATGATTCTCTCTCATCATTGATGTTTCTATCTCTCTTCCTTGCCCTTCCTCTCTGAAATCAATAAAAAAATATTTTTAAAAAATGAAGTTCATAAGCCCATAAACCAATCAAACAAAACCCCAAATACAAAAGCCTGTTTCTAAAAGCATTTTAAAATGCTGCCAATCATTTATGACAATTTCTGGCTCTTCTGAATTGAATAGCAGGTACTGCTCCCTACTTGTGCCAGACATCGTATTGTATCTGCTGTCAGCGCACTTTCTTACATCCATCATAGGCTGGCCTCTATCACTACCCAGTGGGATAACCAACTTCACACTGAATACCAGTTTATGAGACACTAAAGGTGCAAGGGGATTGACATATACCAGCGATTTTCAACCCGTGTGCTGCTAGAATTTTTTAAACATCCACTACCTGACTATTTAGTCAGGGGCACTGACCTCTTTTCCCTTAGATCAGTGGTTCTCAACCTGTGGGTCGTGACCCCTTTGGTGGTCGAACGACCCTTTCACAGGGGTCGCCTAAGACCATCGGAAAACACATATATAATTACATACTGTTTCTATGATTACTCACTATGCTTTAATGATGTTCAATTTGTAACAATGAAAATACATCCTGCATAGCAGATATTTACATTACGATTCATAACAGTAGCAACATTACAGTGATGAAGTAGCAACGAAAATAATTTTATGGTTGGGTCACAACATGAGGAACTGTATTTAAAGGGCCAGAAGGTTGAGAACCACTGCCTTAGATTGTCAAATTAAAAAAAATGACAACAGCCAACACAACAATAGCTGTCCAGTGTGAATGAATCAAAATTACACTTTTTTTATTTTTGGTCAGATCGGCAAAGATATATTTTTGGTGTGCCTTCGAACTTTAGTAATTAGTTTACATGTGCCATGAGATGAGAAAGGCTGAAAATCATTGACATATACTATGGAATTCCCTCCAGTGGTTCCCCCCAAAGGGGTCTTGACCCACAGGTTGAGAACCGCTGGTATAGACAGTAAGGTCTGAAATGTAGGTTCCCCTTCAAATTTGATCTTTGCAAGTTTAACTTATTTACTGACAAAAAGTTTCTCCTCTTTTCGTAGACCTGCCTAAATTAATTTAGATGAGAAGAATGAACCTTACTTGTTCTTGGTTTTCTGAAGAGAGCCAATCAAGCACTTGCCCATGAAACCCATCATCTTACCTTGAAAATATATCCAGTCACCATACTATTCTCTTAACCTACAATTCATCCATCTTTAGGCCACATACTGCCTTAATAATCCTTATAATACACTGGAGTAGAAATCACGTGAATTAATTAAATTCTGTTCAATTACCTTTTGCATTCTCCACCTGGGAGCACTCCGATTTTCCAATACTTGTTCTAAACATGGCCGAGCTCACAATCTTCTCACTTATAAACTGCTGAATCACCAAAACCCAAACTTTCCCATCTGACAGTATAATTGATTGCCTATCAGATCACCCCCGAGAAGCTTTCATTGATTCCTGAGGGTGGGCAGAAATGGCTGGCAACTACCTGGGTTTTCAGTCAAGTTCGTGCCCAAATGTGGGAGTGAGATTTGCCATATTTAGGAACCAGATTTCTTTCTACTCCCAGACCATTCTAGGTTGTTATTCCTCTGATAGTTCCCTTCTTCCCTCCTAAGTCAAACTAATCACCCCAAAGAAAATCTTCACAATTCGTCGGCCAACACCCTGCCAGGTTTCCTTGACAGGAACACTAAGAGCCAAACTGGCTGGAGAGTCATTGCTACTGTGTACCTTAGCATCCACTGGCCCCATGGCCAACATGCCCACCCACCACTTGATAAGCGGAAGTTATTATTGTCACTATTTCTTCTGTGTATTGGGAACAGGTGCTGAAGGTGAGATGCTCTAGCACCTTCAGTTGGCTAGAGGGGTTACAAACTGCTGACGGCAGGCCCGTGAAATCTGGGTGACACAGCCAGGAAAAAAAAACAAATTCAATTCACAAAAAGCCTTTAAGCCTGGCTGGTACGGCTTAGTGGCTGAACGTCGACCAAGGAACCAAGGGATGGCAGTTCGATTCTCAGTCAGGGCACATGCCCAGATTGTGGGCTCAATTCCCAGAATGGGGCGTGCAGGACGCAGCCAATCGATGATGTTTCTCTCTCATCCATGTTTCTATTTTTCTATCCCTCTCCCTTTCTTTCTAAAAATCAATTTTTATTTATTTTAAATATATTTTTACTGATTTCAGAGAGGAAAGAGAGAAACATTGATCAGTTGCCTTCTGCAGGCACCCCAACTGGGGATCGAACCTGCAACCCAGGAATGTGCCCTGATCGGGAATTGAATCATGACTTCCTGGTTTATAGATCCATGCCCAACCAGTGAGCCATGCCAACTGGGTCTAAAAATCAATTTTTTAAAAGAGCCTTTAAAATAATGTAAGTCTTTGATGACATTCTCTTTAGAAGGAAGCCAAGGAGGAATTGCATCTCACCCCACACACAATCAAGCTCTTCCAAATCCTCTTTCCATATTTCTGTCTCCAAAATCCTAATTCCCATCAACAGCTGTTTCTTTCCCCTTCTCCTGCTCTCTTCCACTGTCCTTAACCTTGCTTTCTTACTCCTCCTTCCCCTTTCTCTCCTCTTTGCTCAAGTGGAAAAATATGGCCTGCTCCTGACTATGTCTCTTAACTTTGTCAAAGACCTGGCAGGCAGCTGACTGAGCCAGCCAAGATCTCCTCCTGGAAGTCAGGGAGTGGCAAGGGATTGGCACTGTATACATTAAAATTTTTTTTCTTCTCATGACAACGGTACCAGACCAGTTCCAGTCTTTCTGGTGAGTTCCTGTGGAACACACACAGGGCCTCTACAATTTCATCCCTAGATTCTTGGGTAGCTGCTAGAGGATGTGAAGGATCAACCCTCCCTGTTTCTCCTCGGACCACTGACCTACCTAGCTGTCCATCACCAGAATTGTTTAAGAGGAAGAAGAACGATCTGTCAGGGACTCCCTCTATCTCTAAAATTCTGTGACTCCTAATGCCTCTGCTCCTTGTAGTTCAATGTCCTGTCCTTCTAATTGTTTCTTTTAAAACTGACCACTCCCCTTCTCAATCTTTAGCTTTAACCAACTGAGAGAATTCTCAGCCCCTCTTTCTTTACCATTTCACTAAAAACCTCATCTCAAAAACCTCAATCTCACCGGGTCAGTGTGGCTCAGAGTGTCAACCTATGAACCAGGAGGTCACAGTTCAATGACCAATCAGGGCACATGCCTGGGGTTGGGGGCTTGATCCCCAGTGTGGGGGGGCATGGGGGCAGATGATCAATGATTCTCTCTCATCATTGATGTTTCTGTCTCTCTCTCCCTCTCTCTTCCTCTCTGAAATCAATAAAAATATATATTTAAAAAAACCTCAATCTCATCCTCTCCATGATTCAGACCATCACAGTATCCCAGGGTGAAATGTTATCTATCCAACTTCTAATTTGGGTTTGGTGAATTGTGTCCTGTTTATCATACAATAGTATCGAGGAAAAATTATGTGTTCTTCTGTCTACTCAGATTCGTGGAACTCACACTTGGTATGACTCATGGGAACTAGAACACTTAAGAAGTGATAGTTGTGGCCAGCACCCAACTTCCATTATTTTCTGAAGGGTAAATAAATAGCATGGTGCCAAACTTATTAGTCAGACCTCTCTTTGGAGACAAGTGACAGGAACTCAATTCATGCTAGCTTAAGCAACAAAAATGGATGTGTTGGCTCACTTAACTGGGAAATCGAGGAGTTTGTACTGGCCACAGACGCAGCCGGATCTCAGGTTTAAAGAAAGATATCAGAGTTTGTGCTCTAAACCTCACTTCTGTTTGCCCCTTCGTATGCATCCCATTCTTTTCTACTTCAAAAGAGCTCCCCACAATCCCCCCAAAAGAGCTTTCTTCAATACTTGGGAAGACGTTTGCTGACAGCTACCAGCTATGACACTCCAATTTAGTAACAACAGCAGAAAACACATTTTTCTCTCTCATATGCATCTATTAGTTCCAGAGAAAGACTTTAATTGATTTTTTTTCATCAAAATGTTCACCCTTTCGGACCACGGTTGCCAGAGGGATGGGATTCTGTAATTTTGAATCTTTATTACACCACAGGGAATAGGACTGATGTCCCAAAGGAATGAATGGACAGAGAAAATTACATATGTCTACTGCACAGAGGGGGAGGGAGGGAGAAGAGGACACGTTTGGGGTTCGAAGCACTTGTGTTCTGTGCCCTTTGACTAGCCATGTGACTTCTGACAAGCCGCCTGTGTCTTCTGGAGCCTCAATTCTTCCTGAATAAAATGGTTACATGGTCATTACTAGTACGATATTAAATTATATGTTACATTGCATCTTTTTAGATACCAGATGATCTTTCAGATCATGAAAAACTGCCTCAGCTGAGGAAGGCATTGCCACAGTGCCCACGTCCTCTATTTTTATGCCAATGCATCTATGAGACTCTCCACTTTAGGAAGAGCTTTGCCATCTACCATACAAGTTAGAAAAATGAAGCTCACGAAGCTGCAATGCCTCTTGACTAAAATTAACTTATTTGTGTAACTGCAGCCACACGCAGGCACACAAAATATATGACGATACTGCAACTGAATCATTTCCTGGATTAAGAAAAGTGGCAGAGCCCCACTGAAGGACAACACGCACACAGACAACCACCTCACAGGCAGGGATCCCTGTGAGCACGTAGGCAGAGCCTCTCCTCTGGAGAGCCCATTCTAGGGCTAGCAGCGGTTCTCAACCTGTGGGTCGCGACCCCTTTGGCTGTTGAAGGACCCTTTCACAAGGGTCGCCTAAGACCATCCTGCATATCAGATATTTACATTACGATTCATAACAGTAGCAACATTACAGTTATGAAGTAGCAACGAAAATAATTTTATGGTTGGGTCACAACATGAGGAACTGTATTTAAAGGGCCAGAAGGTTGAGAACCACTGGGCTAAGTCAAGGCCAAAAGGCTTGCGTTCATGCACACCCTAACGTGTGTGCATGTGTGAGTGTGTGTGAGTGTAAGTGTGAGTGTGAGTGTGTGTGTGTGCGTGTACGTGCGCGCGCGCCCCCGCAGGGTGGAAGCGGGTAGGAGGGAGCGCTAGAACAGGCTAGGAAATTAAAAACACACACACGCAAAACAACCCACAAAAACAACTATCCAGGGCGTCTTTAGCTGGCTCCTTCCAGAAACGCAGCGGCCTTGGCACCCCGCTGCAGTCCCCTCCTTCCCCCCTCCTCCGCCCCTCCCGTTGCAGCGGCTCGGGAATCCAGTCCGCGTTTTCCCTCTCGCCCTCCCGCCCTCCGGGTTAAAGCTCCCCCGCCAGGAGTAAACAAGCAGCCCAAACAGGCAGCCTTGGGCCCGCCTCTCCGCCCC